TATGCCTAACGTCAACATTACTTACCTTATTAAACCACCTAACGTGAGACAGAGATCGCAGACATCTATGATCGAAAGCAGCCAACCTTTTCATGTCTTCAACTCGTATTGGCCATGTTTCAGAGCCATAGAGAAGGAAAGAGCGAACTGCTGAGCAGTATACACGTCTCTTGGTTGATAGCCGGATGTCCCGCCTACGCCAGAGATGGTGTAAGTCAGCGAAAGCAACTCGAGCTTTGTGGATCCGTGGTGAGATTTCGTCGCCAATCAGTCCGTTGGTGCTGATAATTAATTATTCTCAAGAGATGGTCTGCGAGGATTTGATCGGTTACAGATTTGACCACGAGCTGACATTAGCTAGAGAACCACTGGAAAACCAGGAAGTACTAGACAGCTGCTTTGTACTAGTCTGCGGCTTAGCAGCAGCAGCAGCACACATAACCCCGGGGTTCGAACTCCAGTTCTTTTGGTTAAATGGTGAGCTCCTAGACTGTTAAGCCACTGGGACCTGAACCAATGGCCAGTGCACGAATTCCAACTCTTGTCAGTGTTCTCTTACCTAACTTCGTGTACTCTGCTGGTTACGAATTATCTCTAGAGCAAGTTGCTAGTAATTAACAGATTAATTATCCCACGGGATATGAAAAATGCATGGGAAATTATGGCTCAGTTGTAAAAATATGCATAAATTCCTAAGTATTGATTATGTTTACTTTATAAGATGAATCCCATTTTTACAATTCTCTACTTTTAATTTTTGATCATAAGAAATGTTTTAAAAGCAACTATAGTCTGACAGGCTTCGGTTAACCAGAAGCATCACTTAACAGTTCACTTCTCTCCTTAAAAATCAGTACAACTAGACTTGAGAAGATAAGGTGTAGTCCTTCAGCGAATATAGTAATTGTAATTCCATTATAGGTAAAATTTATTTTGATAAAGTCTCACAGTGTTGTGTTATACAGTAATATTTACTGATGACAACGTTTCTGGCACAATTTATTACTGCTCATTGTCATCATATCAAGATACTAGTCACACAATTTTCTAACTTCTATATGTCCAAACCAAGTTCACTTTTAACGGTTTCAAAAACTTTCAGCATTGGGTATATGATATTCATTATATAATAAAGGTTTTCTTGTATTTCCCAATGAATGAAAAACAAAACGATATTGCTACTTTTACTGATATTTCGCTATTTAATGCTGCTAATAGCTTTCTCAAAGTATTATTAAACCGGAATGATATGATCTCATACTGACGAACGATAATCAAGTATTTCACATTCTACTTTCTATAGTTTGGTTTGTAAGGATTAGTTATGTTTTACGAGTTGATCACGGATTGATATCAGTTAGAGAACCATTGAAAACCAGGGAGTACTGGACAGCTGCTGTTTCATCCTAGTTTGGGAATCATCGTCAGTACGCACCCACTGGGATTCGAACCCGGGACCTTCCGGTTACAAGGCAAGCTCGTATACCATTCAGCCACTGAGAGCCGATTCAATGGCTCGTGAATTCTAACTTCTACTAATTCGTGATTTAGCGCGACTTCAACCCCCCACATTCTACACTTAGTTTGATTACCTTTACCTATTCTCGAACTTGACAACCAAAAATGACCCCAGACTAACGAACGATGATCAAGTTAGTAAACTTTATGTTGATATAATAACAGATATACTATTACCTTTGATATTTGGTTTGAATGATCTTCATTGTTATTTTAACTTTCTGTATGTCCTTTTAAGTTGAACTAAGTCTATATTTATCTCACCCCCTAACTCTTTGTTATATATATACTGAGATTTTGTAAATTCCGGTTTAATAATACTTTGAGAAAGCTATTAGCATTAAATAGCGAAACGTCAGTAAAAACAATCTCTTAAGTCAAGTTAAAAGGAGGACATATTGAAAGTCAAAATAACAATGAAGATCGTTCAAACCAAATAACAAAGGTAACAGTACATCTGTTATGATATCAAAACAAAATTTACTAACTTGATCATCGTTCGTTAGTCTGGGGTCATTTTTGGTTGTCAAGTTGGTCAATTGGTAAAGATAACAAAATCAAGTGTAGATTGTTGGATTTTATTAGTTTGTAAAATTATGGAAGTAGTTTGTGTTTACATAGTGAACTTGCTTATCACATTTGTGTTGGTTTTGCCACTTCATGGGGGAGGGGGTGTTGTAGCCAGGTCAGATTCTGTTTTAGTTCATCATTCCTATTCAGGCAATTTGGATTCCACTTGATATGAAGTGCTTCTGATATTAGACGTTCTTTGTGGTTTCTGAAGTTTTTCTGGATTATTTCAATATTGTCGAAATCAATTTTGTGGCCTGATTCTATAGCATGTAGGCCTATGGCTGATGATTTTTGAAGTATTTTCTAGTTCAATTGGATTTCTTGGTGGTTGAAGAGATGCTCAACGGTGTTCATTTCTTCTGATTTTGATTTCTCGAGATGTTTTTCCGATGTAGATTGCATCACATCCCAAGCATTTTATTTTATAGATACAATTAGATAGAGAATCTTTAGGGATTTGGTCTTTTATATGGACAAGGTTGCTTTGAAGTGTGTCTGATGTTTTGAAGAAAACTCTAATGTCGAGCTGACTTAGTACTCTTCTGATATCGTCTGACGTCTCTGCTCTTTGTTATATATATGCTGAGTGGATTTTGTAAATTCCGGTCTAATAATATTTTGATAAAGCTATTAGCAGCAGCATTAAATAGCGAAACGTCAGTAAAAGTAGCAATATCGTTTTGTTTTTCATTCATTGGGAAATACAAAAAAACCTTTATTATAATGACTTTCTAACTTCGTTTATGTAATTCCATTATTTTCCATCGTTTGACTTGATTGACAGTAGTATTTTCCATATTTCCAGTATGAGTAATGAGTCATTCCTATTGCACGTGTTGTGTTGGGTGTAGACGTCGATGAACAATGCTCAGAACGTTTAAGCCTCTCCCACCCTATTTGTGTAGTTGTGCGTTGCTAATGCATGCAGTGCAATTGCTGAGCGTTTTTCTAAATTTTTACCTCCTCGAGGTCAACCATTCTACCCTTAGCTAAATTCTTATGCTCCGACAATCTGACTATCCCCGACATACTAGTTTTTCCCTATGTAGTTGACCTCAAAGTCATTGCAAGATATTTTTTGTAGGTTAAAGGACCCAGTTGACCTAATTAGACAAAATAATAGAACTTGCAGAATACCCTGCAATGACTGTGAGGTCAACTACATAGGGAAAAAGTAGTAGGCCAGGGATATTGAGATTGTCGGAACATGAGAATTTAGCTAAGGTTAGAATGATTGAACTCACGAAGATAAGCAATTTAGAAAAGAAAAAAACAGCAATTGAACTACATGTATTAACACACAACTACACAATAGGGTGGGTGAGAGAGGTTGAAAATTCTGAGCATTGTTCATCGACGTATACACCCAACACAACACATGCAATAGGAATGACTCATTACTCATACTGGAAATATGGAAAATACTACTGTCAATCAAGTCAAACGATGGAAAGTAATGGAATTACATAAACCAAATTAGAAAGTTGTGTGAGTAGTGCCTTGATATTGTGGTGAGAGCAGGCCGTGATAAAATATGAACAAGGCTGATTCAACAACCAATCACAGCAGAGTTGACGTGGCAAAATATGATTCGCAGATAGAGAACTCTATTTGTCGAGGAATCCCGAAACAACCAATCAGAAACCTGCGTTTGTCTGCCTAACTTCTGATAAACAACCAATCAGATGACTGCGCTTTTCTACCTGCATAAGCTATAATAATCTATGTGAAATATGTATAAATACGTGTTGATTTTCATAATAAAACGATCTGTTGCCTGGCCCTTGTCTTCTGTTGTTACAATATGATTATGAGCCGTAATAAATTGTGCTCGAAACGTTGTCATCAGTAAATATTACTGTATAACGATACTTTGAGACTTTATCAAAATAAATTTTACCCATAATGGAATTATACTCTACCACAGTGCACAAGTTCTATTCTTATATCAATATAATGATTGCAGAGACGAAACGATGACCTCATTCATACTGCTAGACTACTGAAGCAGTATCCGGAAGTTTGGCGGTTTTCAGTCCCATTGGTAACCAAGTTTTAATCTCACTTTAAGTCACATCATTGATTTATGTCATTGGTAGTCGGCTAATTCAAAACTACCTTATTTATTTATATAAACGCATAAAAACTTGGTACAATATGGCACCAACAAGGATGTGCCACACAATAATGATAAAACAACACAGATCAAAAGAAAAAAGGAAAAGAAAGAAGAGAAAAAAAATATATATATAAGTAAAGAACGGATAAAGAACTTCATCTGGAAGGAAAACAGTCATGCTAACAAGTTCAAACAGTATTCGTTAACTATCATCGAGAAGGGAAGAAAGAAGGAAATTGAAACACGTGTAATAGCACGCGATAAGTTTCACTGATTGTTTGTTGCTTCATTTGATTCATTGTGTGAGGGCTGAGATACTGCCCGGGTGCCCAGACCGAACCAGGTGGTTTTATTAAGGGACCACCCCCCCCGAGCCTTTGACTTGGAGTCTAATCCGAAAGGCAGCGGAGCAGCGTCAGGAGCTGCATTCCCATGGTTTCCGATGACCCATATGGGTTCATACACCATTTGATCCGATTGGATACTGGAGCCCATGTACCCAAGGTAACTGCTTTTAGTTTAACCGCTATTCAAACAACCTTCCTGACATGGTAGGACCTGCATGGACAGAGTCCCAGTCAGTTTAGCATGTTGGGTCATTACGGTATTCAAGCCCGACCACCACGACAAGGTAGAAGTTATCGGCCGAGCTAAACTACCTCAGAGAGTCAATCTCATTAACCATCTAAACATGTCATGTTAATACAAATAAAATGTACAAAAAATGACTTCTTTATCTAACCAGTGTTTATCAATTAAAAATATTTCTTTATTTTTTTAATCTTTTTAGTTTATTATTGTTCATGAGAAAAATGGTAAAATCGAATCTTTGCATTCATCGACTGCATCGTCATCATTTGTTGAACCAAGTGCACAACAGCATTCCGTTCGACTAGCTTTGCCTAAGGCACCTCGTTTGTTAGCTAAACGTCATACAAATGAATTCAGATCGGATTTACATCTCAGCAGTCCTGTTTCACCTACGTGGAATAAGGTATGTTAGTATGTTATTACATTATTTTTGATAAGATATTTTTATAACGTTGTAAAGTTAATTGGTAGAGGTAGAGGTTTTTGGTTTCGCATTCAAATTTCATACTTGCTTGAAAATATTGCTCATTAGTTGCCTGTTCTACTCGAGAACCGTCATTCTAAGAGAAAAGTTTGGTGGCTTGGTATGTATTACGCATGTATCATCCCAGTGCCTTCTACATCGTTTACGGTTTGCTAGCCGTGGGATTCCATTGTGGATGAAATTTATTTTGATAAAGTCTCACAGTAATGTTATACAGTAATATTTACTGATGACCACGTTTTACGCACAATTTATTACTCCTCATAATCATATCAAGGCACTACTCAGATGACTTTCTAACTTCATTTATGTAATTCCATTATTTTGCATTGCTTGACTTGATGGGTAGTATTATTTCCCATATTTCGGGTATGAGTGATTAGTCATTCCTATTGCATGTGTTGTATTGGGTGTAGACGTCGATGAACAATGCTCAGGAATCAACTTCTCTCTCCACCTACCTAGATTACTTTTTAGAATTTTAACCCTCTCCCACTCACCCTATTGTGTGGTTGTGTATTATTGCATGCAGTGCAATCACTGAGCCTTTTTCTAAATTACTTATCTTCTTGGGATCAACCATTCTTACCTTAGCTAAATTCTTATGTTCTGACAATCTGACTTATGTAGTTCACCTAACGGTCATTGCAAGATCTAATTGGATCAACTGGGTCCTTTAACCTACAGAACGTGTTCCAACAAACTCACTCTGGGACAAGCTCCAACAAGTGAAATTATGTACACCTTATCTGAAAATTAATTGTCATTTGCGCATATCTTCCGTGTTGTGCTTCTTCTCCCCCTTCGTATTGTGTTTCTTTGTTTGTTTGTTTTTCGTGTCTTCCATGTTTTGCTGCAAAGCTGGTTCGTTGCCTGTCTTTGGCATCGAATCTATCTCTTGACTATTTGATATTTTTATACCGATGAATGTCTCCTTATGTACTACTGATAACTCTTGTCAGTATCACACGCCGTAGAGTATAACCCATTGACTAACTTCTAGTATTCAGCTTTCAATCTCACTCCACTCACTTCAGCCTGTGAGACTGGTTAATAGTGTCAGCTTTTACACTATGAGTGCGACTCATAACCCAACAATATATGAATGATGTCATCCAAACAAATGAGTTTTATCTAACTAACTAACTAACTAACAGTGTCATACAAGAATTCCCTTTTTATAAATTTGACCAAAGAAAGAACAAACATTTGGTGCAGAATAACATGAATCCATTTTATTTCGTCGGCTCTCATCAGCTGCATACAACCTATAATCTTTAATAAATAAAAGTCAGTGTAAAAATTTAACATACTTTTGGCATCATCAAGTATAATATAAGGGTGACATGGTGATGTAAAACATCAGGACGACAAGGTAGTTGAAGTGTGAGTATATATATATATATCTTGTCAGAGAGAAGTTTCCAGAAAAGTAATTAACAAGTGTTTTGTTAGGGTGGTAACAAAAGATTAGTAAAAATTATGTAGTTAGATAAGAGAAGAGCGAAAGGCCAGATGAAAAAGTGATGAGTAATATGGTAAGTAGAACTCATCTGTCTGTCTGTTTTCGACATAGAACTTTGCATATATGTGAGGCAGTTCAAGTCGCCACACTCCCCATGTAGCACACAAAGCAAGAGAAGAAAGTAAAGAAATGCGTAATAGAGACAGTAAACAGAGATGTGAACCAAAGGATTAGTAGTAACAAAACAAAACAGTTTCATGGAATCATATCATAAGGAGTGGATGCATCTGCGCCAATCATTGAGAACGATTTTGAGCCATATCACCAATTTTTTCCAACCATTGGGTTTTACCGTCCCGAGGACCCCAACCAGGAAGTCTACACCTTCCTACGTGGCTTAGACTAACTGTTGTAGATTTGATTGACTGGTGCCACGCGTTTTGGTTTGACCGCCGCTAGAAAAATTTATCTCTTATGGAAGTCAAATAGAAGAAACGAGGCGACGAGGTGGGACATTGAAAAGATAAGTTAATGAAGTTAGGAGACCAAGAGTTATTAATAGATGAATCACCAGGGTAATTCGAGTCCAACGACAGAATCCTTTTGGACACTTTGGTCAGGTTCCAGCCATTTAATTGTGGTAGCCTCAGTAAAGCGAAGGAGACTTGAGCTGTTTTCCTGTTGATTATTTGGAATGATGCCAGTGTGTCTACTTGGTTTTCTGTATCTATCAGGTGTTTGGTGTTTGAAGAGCTTAAACAACTTGGCTCCTTTAACTGGAAGCTCCTTGTTACACATGTTGGAAGAATCTGATGTAGGTCCTTCTTTCAGTTCTTCCAATGTAACTGCTCCCGCAGATACCTGTAAATTGATATACACAGTTGGAGGTAACATATGAGGGGTGCTTATCGATCTTTCACTGCTCCAAGGAGGAAGATGTTTGGAGAAGAGAGACTAGTTTTGCTGCAAGATACGTCTTGGACAGGGTTGCGGTTAATCTCTTATTTATGACTCTCATAATAGCATCGCCTTTGAAGCCGAGTTTGATGAAAACTGGCTTCTTGTGCTGCATCAGATTTCATGCCTTCATTTTGATTTTTGATTACAGCTTGATTCCACACCGTATTTTTGGTACAAGTATGGAATTTTCAGCATGTGATATATCAGTAGCCCAAGTTTTGCAGGCCGACCATAGATATCAAGTGTGCGTCGGCAGGGGATCGAACCCCGGACCACCTGCTTAGTAGGTGAGCATTCTACCGCTGTGTCAATGAAACTTTGTTGATAACCATTTTATTTCAAACAATTGTCAAGCAACATTAGTTCACTGTCTAATGTATCAGGTGAACTTATTCTGCAGAAAAGCATTTTCACTAGTGTTCGTTTGCTACTGACTGGACAGAAGCTGTTGAAGTTTAAGTAGAGACCACTCCATGTGTCTGATGAGAACCACCGAAATAAAATGAATCCATGTTATTCTTCACTAATGTTCTTCTTCTGATTATTATTGCTTCCTTTAGTTCCTGAAGGAACAAAGGGCTTCAACCGCACGTCTCCATTGAGTTCGGTTCTCCGCCAACGTTTTCACCTGGCTCAACCTCTCCTTTCATGCTTTCATCTCTTCACATCACCTCGTACATGTCACCCTCGCACTGACAACCAACTCGCCGCTTCCCACTTGGGTCCCACACGAGAGAGAGCCTAGTGTATGATGTCACTTGATGGTTTGTTTTCTTATAGTATTGCCAACCCACCCCCATATTTCTTCCTGAATATTTGTGGCACAATTGGTTCCTGCTTGGTTGGTTCGCTCCTAGAGATCCCTCACTATTACTGACCTTTTTTGGCTGACCACCTTATCTTGAGTATTGAGCGAAGACAGTTAGCTGTTGATGAAGGTGTGTAGTTTTTTTCAAAGTGCCCTTCGTGACATGGCACCAAGTCTCTGATCCATATATAGTGAGTAGCACTGACGTCACACTGGAGTTGAAAATCCACATCTTATTTTTCATGCTGACTAGTGCTGTTGATCTCCACACAAACTTGAGAGTAATGAAAGCTTGCCTCGCTTTTCCCATGTTCCTAGCTTTGAAGATATCCTCATCAGTTCCATCCACCTGCAGTTGAAACGTTGCTTCCCAGGTAGATAGGTAGGTAGATAAAGGTGGTTGCTTCTTTCAAATTTCTCCCATTTATGCTGGCTGATTGTTGTCTGTTATTGCTTCTGTGACTGTCAGCCCGGAATCTCCATCACCTCTGTTTTCTTTTTGTTCACCTTAGGGAAGTCCTATCTTTGATGCTTCTTCTGCCAACTAATATTTGTTCTCACTTTGCTGTAACTAATAATGCTAGTTCTTAAAGAGTTGTGTGCATATATATACATACCGTAGTGTTTCATTAAAACCTTTTCTTCACCAGTTTAAAGGCCCCACCAAAATGCAACATCGCATTAAATCAATTTGATTAGTAGTTAAACATCATTATGAAGTTACATCAGCAAATCAATGGAAGACTATTATGGTGACATTTTCGTTTTAAACGTGACTTCCTTACATTATTGACCACAAGTCGCTTTAACATCAACAAAAACAAAACAATTACAACTTATGTTTCCCTATTCATTTCTTTTACCTGAATTTCACATAATCCACCCTCGTTGTAGCTGTCGCTCGCTACTGTCTTTCCACCAACTGTTGTGACACTCCACAATAGTAGTAGTAGTAGTTAAATGATGGTAGTACTTTTTTTTAAAAAATGGCGAAAAAAGGGAGGGAAATTTGAAAACCTATTGTCTAATTTCTAGATTTGTTTTCTAAAAACACATTACTGACAGACGCAATGTATGTTGCATACGTTCCTAAGTCTGTATGTGTGTGTGTGCGCGCGCAACTGCGTGTGCGCCTAGCACTGATTATAGGATTATGTAATCAAACGTAGTTTAAAGTTAGTAGTAGTAGTAATCTCTGTCTTGCTGTTCCTAGATAAAATTTACGCTGTTCAAGGAAATATTTGTCCTGTATTTATTTGTTTTCTAAAAATACTTGATGTCCACGTAAATTGCATCAGAATGAATCTATTTTTTTAAGTCACCATTCTCTTCAACTCTTCGCCTTTTGATTGCTTATTAATCTGAATGTGTATGTGTGGGCGCGGGCGTCAACTAATTGAAACACTTATTGAACAGACATATACGAACATCGGACGCGGACGTGGACAGACATTGAACTTTATACTTTGGTGTAGTTGTTCATTAAGCTTCCACAATATTCCTTAAGGAATACAATAATAACTAAGAATTGTGTTCAACTAAACTTTCAACTAAAAAGAAGATGGCTGCAGTAAAGAAAATTTTCTTTTCGATGAAGTCATCAATTAGGAGGCTGTACATTAGTGTATTTATGAGAAATCAGTGAGAAAGTCCCAAAGCTATTTCCGGTCAAGTTAAACCTTAAGCACCGCCAACCGCCAGTGGAGTATGACCGCACCAATGACCTTGAAACGCTTACTGAACAAGTTACTGAAACCTGCCAAGTAATGTTGTCACCATCAATAAAATATTCTCATCAAAGTGTTATGTCATTAAATGAGATATCTGGCAAGTTTCAACTTAGGTTTGGGAAAGATTAAGTTACGCTTTATGCCAAGGACAAGTTAGGGTTAGATTAACCTAATAAAGTCGACATTAGGGTTGGTTCTAGTTAGATTACAGTTAGTTTAGGCATATTTTCACGTTAGGTTTATTTTCCGGAAAGATTAGTGTTATTGTTAGGGTTAGAAGACCTAAATAATTACTTTGTTGATATAAGAATAGAACTTGTGCACTGTGATAGAGTATAATTTCATTGTGGGCAAAATCTATTTTGATAAAGTCTCACAGTGTTATGCAGTAATATTTACTGATGACAACGTTTCGAGCACAATTTATTGCTCAGGAAATATTACTGTATTACACTATGAGATTTTATCAAAATAAATTTTATCCATAATAAAATTAAACTCTGTTGATACTCCAACCTAAAACTGAGAGCTACTTTTATTACAGATGAGAGCAACGTATCCCCTGTAACACTTTTATACAGTTTTTATGCAATTTTTCGTAAATATGTGTATTCTATACACAAAAATGCCTCGTTCGCATGATCGGCGCGTTCGAGGTCACCCGCTGATTGGTAGTAAGTGGTGCTTAAAGTTTAACTTTACCCAATTTCTGACCAAGGATTAAATCAATAAAATTACAAAGTGTAATAAGCAAGAAGTTCGGATAAAAAACAATAATGTAGATAGGAATTTTTAAACAAAAACGTGAAAGTAACGGAAATAAACAAGAAGACTGGATAAGAAAGATAATGGAATAAGCATTATCAATAGGATTGACTCCTTCTGATGGTCATGGTACGGAAAATGGTTGAACGTATTGCTTTTGAATACATATTGTGGGCTTGAAATTTTGGATCGGTAGTGCCTCAACTATATTCCTAGATGCCTTTATTTCACTCCCTTGGAGAGGTTTGATTGTATCTTGTCAATGACTTTAATGGATTTTTTTTCAAATGGAGTTGGATGTCCCGAATTCATCAGATGTTCAGTTACTGAACTATGTACACTCTTGCGTTCTGTCTTTGCTAACCATGCTGATGAATAGTGTTCCCGAGTGCGTTTTAAGAGCGGATGTATAATACAGCTAATGTACTCGACTCCACATAAGCGAGTGAAGTGGTTGGAGTTTTTTTTTACCCGATCTTCCTGTTTATCGCACTTTGTAATTGTATTAATTTGACTCTAGGACGGAAATAGTTCTGGAACTTTCCTGTAAATAAACGAACGTGCAGCCTAGTTGATGCCTTCGTTGACAAGAAGAGAAGAATTTTTGCATAAATGGTCAGCAGGTCAAGTTGTCACACTTCATAAATGCACACATATCAGTGGAGGAAAATAGTAAGATATTTGTAATAAACTGGAATGTATAAAAGAAAGAATAAGTACATGGAGAGACATGAGAGTTCATAAAGACTGAATTGATTTATTCCATAAACATCGATTTTGTATCATATCACCAGAATTCTACACACATTGATTCTTAACGTCTCTGAAACCCCAGATGGGCAGTCTACACCTCAAACCAGTAACTAAAGACCTCATCAACCAATGCCACTAAGCTTTGATTTTAATACTGCTATACAGAACACCAAATAACGGAAGAAATCTTCGAATGTTTGACGTATAATTTGCTTTTGTCATGTATGAAATAATACGGTAGGACTGTACTACACTGACTCGCAGCCTAAAGATAATGAGTGAAATGGTACGGTGTGTCGACCCTCTCACGTATTGGGCACGTTGTATCAGCTCTAGTAGACTGATTGCTGGAGAAGTCTCAGTACGCATAGAAAAAGAAAATTTGGCATTTGCCAACTCATTTGTCAACTTCAAGTATTCGTTTGTAGGGACTTCATTGGTTAGTTACAGGATTTCATCATGAGCTGACAACGGTTACAGAACCATTGGAAAACCCCCCAGAGAGTACTGAACAGCTGCTCCGTCCTAGTGCCTGGGAGACTTCAATAGTAGGCACCCACTGGGGTTCGAGACCAGGACCTTCTGGTTACAAGGCGAGCTCGTAGACCATTAATCCATTGGGACTTGATCCAAAGGCCAGTCCATGAATTCCAGCTTCTGCCAACTCACGACATGGCGTGACCATTAGTCAATATCATCGGTGGCGAGTGTCCATCCTAACACCCTACCTTCTGCACCCTACTGGTCACAACTTCCCACTCACTGAAGACATTGACTAACGGTCGTTGGAAGTTGGAATTCATGGATTGGCCTTTGGATCGGGTCCCAGTGGCTTAACAGTTTACGACTTCGCCTTGTAACCAGAAGGTCCTGGTTTCAAACCCCTATGCTGGTGCATACTGCTGAAGTGTCCCAAACTAGGACGAATCAGCTGTCCAATACCCACTGGGTGGTTGTCCAATGGACCTCTAACCTGTGTCAGCTCATGATGAAATCCTGCAATCATTTGTCATCTCTCGCATGCACATAATATCCAGGTATTTATGAAATGCTGTGTGTACTCCACAGCAGTTCTCTCTGTCCTCCCTTTCGTTTGAAAGACACCACCGTGAAAGGGCGATGATATACAGAGGCTAGGTGTCTTTGATAATGTAATATCGAGGTTAGGAGATTTATACAAGTTTTGAGAGTAGGATATTCATTTGTTTTTCTAAATCATTACCATTATTTAAACATACATACATACAGTTGGCGCTATAATTTTGATTTATTCAGTTTTCATTTTCTAAACACATCTTTTACTTATTTACGGTAGGTCAACAATTAAAACCTTGTCATCAGTATGGTGCATATTCAAGCTTATTTTACATAATTTTATTCTGTGTTCATAAATCAATACCTGACTAACTGTGCATAAATTAACCACTTACTTTCTTCGCATTATCACACTTATCTTCATTTTAGAGCATTTTCCTGATTATTGGTGCTTCAGTTTTGGCTGTCTTATTGCTACTATTTGTTGCTGTTAATCGAATACAACGTATTCATTCAAAATCGAATTATCAATTCAAATCACAAACAAATAATCTTCACATGATACCGTGTACTGAAGATATATTAAAACAAATGTATACAAGTCAACAATTCAATGATGCAGATGAGACAATAAAACCGGAAAAAATAACAAGTGCAGAAAAGTTAAGAAATTCAAAAATGAACACTGATAATTCACCCATCGTTATAACACAACAGAAACAGCCTAAACAGGCACAAAATGATCCGTTAAGAGTTATACCAAATCCTATTGTCAATGAATCAGATATGAAAGAATTTGAATCAAAAACTGTTCTACTTGATGAAAAGGTATGCTATGCAATACTGTTAGAATACTATTCACTATTTCATTTCACATGATCAGTGTTATAATCTTTGTGTTGATGATGTCCAGAAGTGGAATGAAAAGCGAGCGTTTCGTCACCCTTGGGGACTCATCATCTGGCTATATCTGCATCTGAGTGATGCTGTTCCAACTGAGACTCATTAGAGATACAGTTGGATCGAGATGATGAAACTAAATTCGAATGGAACGCGCATGCTGAATTCCAATGATATCCACTACCAATCTAAGTAACATGACGTTAGCTTGCAAACGTCACCAAAAACTCCGTAATTAAAATGACACGTCAGCCAGCAGAGGCAGGGCATTTCGGTTGAATCAATTGAGATTAAAAAATAACTTGAACGAGTTTTGTAATGCGTTAAAATTATAATGTTTGTTCTCTAGGTTAAAAAGTTTCAATCCAGTTATTATCACCGCTGTTAATTTTAAATTCACAAGTGGTCAGTATTCGTCTGTTTTTCTCAGTGTATCCTAGATGTAATTAGTTTCTGAAGATATAATTCTTAATCTTCAGTAAACAATTTGATTGTTTGGTGTAGATATGTGGCCAATTCGGAATCCAACCAACAGTTCTCAGCTTCTATGAAGTTTCATTATCCACTCATTTTAAACTACTTAAAAATATATAAGTAGCATCTTTCTGAAACCGTAAAAATTAAATTTACTAATTCAAACTTGATTATTAACCATTTTTCTTCAATATGAAGTGTAGAACTTATAGGTAAACATATTCATTTTCATTATCCCTTTTTCATTTGGAAATATTGTCATCAAACGAGAGAAGTTAGTGCGTCAGGAGCATGGATTTCATATGCATTTACTATATCAATACACTCTCCTTTCACTTATCTAGGCAGACAACATCATTTCAACCCAAGATAAGGAAGTCACCAATGAGGTTTTCAAGTACAGGACTGGAGAAACCAGGCAAATTTTCATCAATCGGAAATCTGTTGTATTCAGCATAAAAACAAGATTCAGATCTTCCATAATGAATTTCAAGTCAATCAGTGCTTCTATGTGTTTCACGGACGTCACAAAACCCATTTTTAACAGCATAATGCAGATTTTCTCTAACTTTGCCTCTGCTGTCAGATCACATGACTGGAAAGAATAAGTGACAAGGAACTCTGTCAACGAACCAACAAAGAACCTATAGCGCAAAAAATATGCCGAAAGAAATGGAAATAAAATTGTGCGTCGGTGGCACAGTGGTTAGGACTCTCGCCGACCATTCACATGGTCCGGGGTTCGAGCCCACGCCGACGCACACCTGATATCTATGGTTGGCCTGCGAATTTTGGGCTACCGATATCCACGCTGAAAATTCCACACTTGTACCAAAAATACAGTGTGGAATCAAGCTGTAACCAAAAAAAAAATAAAAAAAATAACATCATTAGTTACTATTATTGTTGTTTCCTTTAGTTCCTGGAGGAACATAGGGCTTCAGCCCCATTGCGTTCGCTTCCCCAACAACGTTTTACCTGGATCCAACTCTCCCCACTTGTATTCATTTCCTCTCCACATTACCTCCTTCATGTCACACTCGCACTGACGACCAACTCGCCGCTTCCCACTCCGGTCCCACTCGAGAGAGAGAGAGCCTAGCGTGTGATGTAACTTGATGGGTTTTTTTCCCAGAGTATGGTCAACCCAACTCTATTTCTTCCTGCATATCTGTTGCACAGTTGGTTTCTACTGGGTTGGTTCATCCCCAGAGATCCCTGTTGTTGATCATTTATGGCCGGCAATCCGATCTTTAGTAGTACTGAGCGAAGGCACCTGCTGATGAAGGTCTGTAACATCAGACGCGCCTCAGATCCTCGGGTGGAACCCAGATGATAAATAACAAGCTGGATGTCCAAGGGTGGCATGGATGAGGTAATTTGGTGAGGAAATGAGGGGTTGTACACAATTATGGAGTGAGTTAAAAGAAACTGCAAAAAGCAGACTGAAATTGAGATGTGTTGCTGAAGCCGTGGTTACAACTTAGAACCTGAGAGAGCAATAATAACAACAATCTTCTCGTTAACTAGAAAGAAACATGTGAATTGAGGGAAGGATAGTATGGAAACCATTAAAAAAAACCTTTACGGAATCCTCAGTATTTGTCATAATAGAATATTTTCACATTTATAAAAGGCTTGTTTCATCAAACTAGTAGTACTTTCAAGAATTGTTTTTGTAGGGATTCTCTTTGTTCCAGGTTAGACCACGTATAGTTATCAGTTAGAGAAATTTTGGAAACCAGAAAGTTCTGGAATCGGTGAAAGTTTAAATTCATGACCGACTGAATCAGGTCCCATTGGCTGACTGGTATACAAGCCCGCCTTGTAACCGGAAGGTCCTGGCTTCGAAACCCAATGGGTGCGTACTCCTTATGAGTCCCAAGGACTAGGATGAAACAGCTGTTCAATACTTCCTGGTTTTCAACCGTTCTCTGACTGATATCAAACAGTCGTCTAACCTGAAACGAACTGGTAGTAGCCAACTTCATTATTTAAAGCATTTTTTCTGCTTACCAACACCACGATGTTTCTACTTCTTGTCTGTTTGAAAACTATATGTGCACAGTTTAAAATCGCATCGGAAATATACATGGATATTATGTAGAACGAGAGTCCAGATTAAAAGGGTTCTATGGATTTTCACTAAAGAATTATTTGTAGAAATAATATAAGTATGCCCAGTCTTCTAGCTTTATGTCTATGTTGTATGACAATCACTGTTTATCCCTTACGCTGAGGACGACATCACATAAGAACTGGTTTGTGACTTGAGTTCAGATGAAGTGAATTGACTAGAATGGTGCACCTCCATGCCACTGTCTTCAGAATCAGATATTAACACAGGACCTCTCTACCAACAAAGTTAAATTGTAACAATAGAAGACAAGGACCAGGCAACAGATTGTTTATTTAGGAAATCAAAACATATTTATAGATTTTCATCTACATTATTATAGATTATTGTAAGCAAACAAACACAGTCTTCTGATTGGTGATTTATCGCTGAACGTTGTTAATCTTTCATCTCTTTGTGGCCGTTTTTTTGAAGTTCAGATTATCTATCTGTAAATTGTATCCGCCTACGCAAACAAAGTCTGCTGTGGTTGGTTGTTGAATCATTTTTTGTTCTTATTTTTCTCACAACCAATATTGGGGACATAAACATTGACATAAATTACTGTCTACCATTTTAGGCTGGCAGCCAGCTCTCACCATAAAATTACCTTTAATATTAAGAATAAAATTTTAGGCACTGTGATAGAGTGTGATTCTGTAACAGGCGCAGATAAAGAGTCTTGTTAACGTACACCTTTATTAAAGAAGAACAAATTATACATTCTTAGCTATACTAAAGTTATGCTAGGTCGGGGGAGAATAAACTATTCTGATTGGCTGATGATTTGTTCAAGGTTTTTAATAAGTTGTCCAATGGGGTAATTTCATATCCACACGTAAACTAAATCTATATTTGAAGGATAAACACTTCTACTTCTACAGTCAGTCATTAACTTTAAATATTGATTTCAATTTTGCCTGCTTTCTATCAGTCTGTATCAAGATGACAAGCGGGAGAGTGAACATAAGAAAAGCAAATTATGATGAAGCCATGAGAATACACTGACATGATCATGAGCTTGACTGTAACAGAGTGTGCTATATCAAATCAACTTATCTAACTTTCTCTGGTTAATTAGTGTGGAATCTTAGTTTAACCAATTGAATTAACATTCTGTCACAAGTTTCTGATTTTGTTTTTATCATTACAAAGTATATCAACCTGGATGAATTCACTTCTGTGTAAATATCTACTTGTATTCATCAGCCAGTTAAAACAACACACAAGGTTCTCGGATTATTCTTTTTATGTAAACAAGCCGGAACTTTAAATAGAACAAAGCATTCATTATGACAAGACAATTCAGCATGGAATTAGGTCATTTAGTCTAACCATCTAAATTGGTCACTACCTAAATGTAAACATAATAGCTTACTCATAGCTTACCAGCTGTTTACTTAAGCCGATAGAGAAAGAAAGACTAGATTTGCAGTATAAAATGGCATCATCATTCTATTTCACAGGTTCTCATCAGCTGCACACCACTACCGAAATTACAATGGTTGTAAATAATGACATTTCATGCTTCAATGTTTGAAAGGTAATAGTGAAAACATTATAAGAGATGAACGCATCCGGAATATAAGTATTACAATTTGTAGTTTAAGTCACCATCCATTTATATACCACCAGACGATGAAATAAGGTGGGGGACTGAGAAAAGACAGAAAACAGAAAAATCTATTAGACAGTGTTAGCTTGTACGTCAAAATGGCAACTCAAGAAGGTTAAGTTTCATTAAATTGAAAACTTGCTTAGTGAGTTGAGCTCACTAGTGTGTATAACTAATCAGTGTAATGAAAGTAAAACAGTTCCCTAGGGAGTGAGAGATTGACTACACTCTCTTTCTGTGTTCATAAGTTTGGTCTGAAACGTTTGATTGCAATTGCTTCAGCAAATCGTAGTATATTCGCTGTCCTTTGTATGTTTAATATTTTGAAGGATCTGGAAATCTCGATAAAATGACCGGTATCCTTAAGGTGTCTGGTAATTACACTTTGTAAATATTTGCTTCTTGGAATGTGCTCTGAAACCACCTGTTCTTTTCTTTGTTTGTTTTTTGGCCCTTTAAATTAGACCGCGAGAAATTTAAAATTACACTGACTTAGTAAAACGGAATAAAAATGTTTATCACTGGTCTTTTTATTGGTTTACAAATCTATGGAAACTTTAGTCAAATGACTTAAATAAACTAAACTTCATTTTAAAAAATTCTCTGTGTGAAATTCTCTTATATTTTGATTTTCGTTTTCTCTTCAATTTCAGCGCTATAATGCTTCTTTGAACATGGCTTCATCAATATATAATCATCATAATCAAAGTAATAATGATCCTAATGATTATGAAAGAAGTGATTCACCAATCATTTGTCGTCCTCCAACATTTGAATTCTATGAAAATCCATTAAGATCTGATCAAGAGGATGAAGGTGATTGTGAGTGTTCATGCTGTGAAGATGATGATGATAATGATGACGCTGCAAAGTAATAACATTAAATTGTGAAAATGCCCAGTTCAAGATGAAATGAAAAGTTGAGCAAAAGCGTAACTTCAATCAATTAACTAGTTAATACAAACTTAATTCACATTTGAACCCTATTTACTCTTTATTTTACTGTTTCTTGTTATTTATCGTATGCACATATTGATCGATTGATTGATCTGATGGCATTTAGTTTAGGCTAATTTAATATTGAATATTGAATCATTTACTCATTTCTTTTATTCACTGGTAATACTTACTTATAATTCACTTAATGCTTGCGTGTATGTGTGCGTGATATTTATCTTGGCCATTCACTCATCCATCCACTGAGTTACTCACTTCCTAATTCCCTTTTTCACTCTTTCATCTATCTTTATTTCCATACGTTAAACATAAATTCTGCACCGCATTTCAATGTGTTAAATGTTTCAATTTTCAATAGTTGTTGAAATGTCGTTTTGGCGCGAAATCAAAACATGTCATTATTTATTAAAAAAGAAGGAAGACAAGCATTTATATACATGCATATTTACTACTTTAGAATCATTGCTTTTATTGTGTTTGTTTGTTTTAATTTTAATTGATTTCGAAAAAATCTCACCATCATAATCATCATTTATTATAATTGTTTATTTTACTTTTTTGATTTTATATGCTTTATTTCCTGTCGTTTTTTCACGTATATTTCCTTAGTCAATTTAATTGCCTGGCTTTTTTCGTTTCTGTTCACCATGTTCTAGTCTTTTTTCTATGGAGCACATTATTCATAAGCAATCATATCATTTGGTATAATAATAATAATATCATTATTATTAGTAATAATAGCATTTTTATAATTAAATATATCATCTCATATATGCTTGATTACATATATAGTGTTGCTTTGTTTCGACTGAAGTGACAAGGGCGCATATTAGGCATACTAAGTCTTCACTCTCTTCGTCAACATAAGATTGGGTTAGGAAAGAACTCAAAAAAAGTCAATAATAATCAGAAGCACAACATCAATCCATGAAGTTGACATCACCGGCTAGACAGGACTTCAAGTGCAATCTGATTGAGAAGAAACGAATTAGGTGTGGATCTGATGGTCAAATTTGGATGGGAGTTCCTATTGCTGTTATTGTCAATATTGGCATCATTAACGTCATTAATATCAATACTGCACATTTGGGTTAACAGATGAATACAATCGGACGATCCAAGATCAGGCGTAACAGTTTTCTTATTATGCTCATTAACATTATTGTTGCTATTATTATTACTGTACATTTCAGTTAACGGAGAAGTAAAACCCGGAGATCCATGATCTGATGTAACAGTTTTCTTACTGTTGTCATTGCCAATATTGCTATCATTATCATTAGAGAACATTTGTGTTACTGAATCACAATAATAGGGTGATCCAAGAGCAGGTGTAACAGTTGAATCACTGAAGGAATTATTTGGTGAAGTTGATGGCATACGATCCAATAAAGGTGGTAATGGGCTATTTGAAGCACTACTGCAATCGTTATGAACACTGTATCCTAATCCACTGCTAGTTCCATCTGATTCTTGCCATGCTATTCTGTCACAAACTGCTGTGTCATTGGAAACAGGGACTTTAACAGTACTCTTGGGAGTAAAACTTCGTTGTTCAGATATATGACTATTCCGTAATAATTGTCTTCGTCTTTTTACGACAGATGATAATGCATTGCTTAGCTTTCTTCGCTCACTGTCACATGAATGCAAATTTGATTCATTTTGTAGGCAAGATGAAACGCTTTTCTTAATAGTTTTTCTTAACATGCACTTTTTATAAGGGGAAATAATCCTCGGAGTCCTGTTCTCATGACTAATCGAATAAGGTGATTTGTTTACAGAAGCTATGGTTGCAGCAATAAGTCGAGCTTTAACACGATTTAAACGATAGCTGGTATGCCGTAAGGAATATGCATTAGGCAATGCTTTACAAGCCAAACCAGTTGAAGATCCCTTCTTCAGGAAGAAATCCAATGATAAAGACTTAGTGACTTGAGAACCAACCCACTTGACAAAGTGAGAATTATTTGGTACTGAATTTATTCTATCACGCAGAATTTGATTATGATCAGTAGAAATGTTAAGAGTATTATGAAATGCTGGTACAATATTTTTTGGATGAGTCCTCTGGTCAGAGATAGTATTTGGAGATGATAATTCATTAGTAGGATTTGTCATATCCACACTTTGGTTAAATTTGCTGAAATATCCACGACCTAATAATTCACATGTAAAACACTCGCAAGCTGCATTATTTGTGTCGAAAAAGTTTGTCCCATAGTAGATGAAAATCTCATCACCCGACTTGATATCGGTTATAGCCTTTAAGCTCATACGAGCGTCAGCATCACAGTTAGTTGTGAACTCACAGTTAGGTCGACAGTCATGATTAACATAAGCTGCAGGACCTAACCATAATTGGGAACAGTTTTTTCTAGAAGAATACATGACTGAAAAGTCATTTTTGTGTTGCTTAAGGAATGTAGCCTCTTCATGATGCTTGAGTTTAGCGATGCATCCCACCAAAGTACTAATACGAGACCCTTTCGCCCAATCTTTTGTGGCATATATTGCGGCTCCCATATGATTTTCTGATGCGTAGCGCCAACAAGGTCGAATTTCAATGCCAGAACGATCATCAAATAATAACAAGTATCGATTGATATGTTCCTTGAAACGAGGGTCAATACTCCAAGACCGTTTCACTATGTTTGGATCGGCAGTCAGCTGGTTGAAAGCTGTATCGTAACACTTATTTTTCCGAAAGGCAGATATGATATCACAAAACTTCCTTTTGATTCTTTCTGGAATTTTTAACCTCATATCTGTCATTTTATGGGTAGTAAAGCCAAGATAAGGATCAACAGTGAGGGCAGAAGCGAGATCATCAGCTTCAGCCAGTTCCCTCCAACTCCTCATCTGGTGGTTTCCCGTTACATTCGGAATAGCATTTTTCCTCTTAGCAAGACTCATCTGTGTTGCTTATTTGGATCTTTGCAAATATTCAATGCAATATACTAAGCAGAAAACTAAGTCGCTTGACGAAATGAAGACAACGGAGATGAGCTAGCTTGAAAGACCTGACTGGAGTTTCCATTACGGAATAAGATATTCAATTCCAGAGAACAGTTATCAAAACTCGGAGCATTGCAATGAATTTACAACAAAATAAAGGAATTATTAAAGTAACCAATGTAGGCGCTTCATATTATAAGTGTGGTGAGAGCAGGCCGTGAGAAAATATGAGCAAGACTGATTCAACAACCAATCACAGCAGAGTTAACGTGGCAAAATATGATTCGAAGATAGAGAACTCTATTTGTCGAGGAATCCCGAAACAACCAATCAGAAACCTGCGTTTGTCTGCCTAACTTCTGATAAACAACCAATCAGATGACTGCGCTTGTCTACTTGCATAAGCTATAATAATCTATGTGAAATATGTATAAATACGTGTTGATTTTCATAATAAAACGATCTGTTGCCTGGCCCTTGTCTTCTGTTGTTACAGTAGGAGGTATTGGCATAGAGTTTTTAGAGGCTTTGAGTATCAACCTTCACGGATGGTACGATTTATTATAATTGTAACAACAGAAGACAACGGCCGGCAACAGATCGTTTTATTACGGAAATCAACACGTATTTATATATATTTCACATACATTGTTATAGCTTATTCAAGCTTATTCAAACGTAGTCTTCTGATTGGTTGTTTCTCAGAAGTTAAGCAGACAAACGCAGGTTTCTGATTGGTTGTTTCGGGTCACCATCGAAAAGTAGAGCCATCTATCTGAGAATCATATTTGCTCACGATAAGACTGCTATGATTCATATGAAGTGTGATCAAGATTTGATCGGATAGTTGCAAAATAATTGAGCGCTGAGTGAGAAGTAGACATTTATAAAGTTATATTTGTAAAATCTCAGCGAAATTGAAATGATTAATTCCAACGTTTCGTTCGGCAATCTGGTCCGAGCTTCTTCAGGGAAATTAATCGAAATTAACATAACAAAGTTTATATATAAAGGGACACATCTTGTTTTTAAAATTCTTGTCCAATCATGAATCATGCAACAGGTATCAACATGTATCATATATAAATAAATAGAATTGTATGTTTATACAAAAGTACAATAGTACAATCAATAGGTATGCTAAACAAAACAAAACAAAAATTGTATGAACTATGATCAAAAACGTTTTGACCTCAGGCTTTCAAAATTTGTCTACTTTTGTTAAAATATGTGTGTATGCAGTATATGCAGGATACAATGGTGTGTGTATGTGTGTGTGTGTGTGTGTGTGGGTTGGGTGGAACAGTCATCAAACATTTGCTATTCTCATATGAGCTGTGATCAAGATTTGACCGGATAGTTGCAAATAATTGACATTTTTATAAATATAATTTAATTTTTTATAGCTTTGTTATTCTCTCCATAAGAAGACGTAGACAGTCGGGAATTTGACTAAGTGTGACTACTTGATCATACATATCAAATTTTACTTTGTTTATTAGTCAGGATTTGCCATGCATCGGCTAAGATCACACCTTCACGTCTGTTAAACTGTTGGGATTCACCCATATATGTAGGGCTTCTGCAGTTAATCTTTCTTGATATCAACCAAAACCTTTTTGTAAAACCTTAGTCTTATCAAAGTCGATTTTGTGTCCCGTTTCTATTGAATGTAGCGCAATCGCTGAGTTGTTTTCTAGCTTCTTCAAGTCTGCAGAGCTCTTTGGAACCACCTTTAGACATTGTTTATGCTCTTTCATTCTTATATTTACCTGTCTAGAAGTTTCTCCTACATATACTGCGTTACAATCCCCACAATTGATCTGGTATACGCAATTCTGCTGGTTTTCTTGTTCTATTTTATCCTTAACCTTCACCAGCAATGAACGTAAGGTGTTAGATGCACGAAAGTACACTCTTATGTTATGTTCGTTAAGGATTCGCTTTATTTCATCGGACG